ACATATTTTTGAAATCGAAATAAGTTCATTAGACACAATTTACCTCTGTACAAAAGTGCTTCGATTGTCCGCTAGTGGGCATCAAATTTTGAAAAAATAAACAGATATTTTTAGATATTTTAAGAACGGTTATTCCTATTTGAATGAGATTCGGTGTGCCTATGTTTTGCTAAGTGCTTGAACATTCGTCTTTCCCCAAAAATCAAGAAAAAGTACGGGAAGAGTGAAAACTACCCCCACCCTTACATAAATTGTATAAATATTTTCCAGCTCAACCGACGACCGACTTTTTTTGTAAAATAGGGATCATTTATTCTAGTATTTACTACATTTTTTGTCTTTTATAAAAAAAGCCACATCACATAGTTTTCGAGAATTTTTTTTGGAGAATTTATTTTTCCAAAGCAGACCTACAAAATATACAGGTTCCAATATTCCGTGGATCTAGAACAAGTACGTATTTTTTGAATCAAAATAATTGCACATAATTTACCTTTATACAAAAGTGCTTCGTTTGCCCGTTAGAGGGAAAAATAAAAAATAAACCCTAATGTTAATTAATTTAAAATTAATTATTTTTTAAGCTTTTTATGAGGCCTTTTGCCAAATATAATTTATGGTACTAACATAAAATCCCATTTTTTCGCCAACTAGATTATTAGAGCATACCTAATATATTTTATCCGCCTCCATAGCTTGATGTGACAAAACGCATTTTTTGAAATTCACGTTTTTTTACAAGAGACAAAAAATGTAGCATGTACTACAAGGACCATCCTAAGAAAAAAAAACGGTCGTCGATTGAGTTGAAAAATATTTCTCCTAAAATTTATGTAGGGGTGGGGGTAGTTCTCACCCTTCCCGTACTTTTTCTTGATTTTTGTGAAAGTCAAATGTTAAAGCACTCAAACAAAAAAAAATAAAATCCCTAATGTGTGTTGATACAGGTATAAAAAATCAGATTTCCCAAATCTGCCCTTTTTTGAAATAGCCCTTTATTTGCAAGAAATCGCACTGATTTCTATACCAACCCTGTAATATCAAGAAAGTTTTTTTTTAGTTTTAAGAAGACAGATATTCTAAATTAAGAATTTCTAAAATTAAACGGAAAAATTTATAATATATAAAATTAGCCCTACAAATGTAATAAGAAAAACAATGTGTGAATAAACATACGAAAATAAATTAATCTGGATTTTTGACAAGCTAAACGTAGCATTTTGCCGTACTGATGATTTTATTTTTTATTTATTTTTTTTTTTTTCTATTGCCCTCTGTAGCCTCGTTAAATTTTTGCATAACTTCTTTCGGAATTAGATTTTCAATACGTATCGACTTTATTTTATCATTTTTTTTAATATAAGTGAATTCCTTAAACAACACTGACTTTTAAGTGACTCGAATGACGTAGATAAAATTAAAATAAATTAGAACAGTTGTGCTGCGTGGTTATCCCAATGCATTTTACACCAAATTCAAATTTCATGTTTATACTTTTTACAATGTTTCCACCAGTAAATACAACAGCATCCAAAATATACATAAGCGGATTAAAAATATTCAAATATTTAAAAACATAAATTTTATCCAAACAGGATAAAATAAACCATTGTACGTCATTCGTCCGCAATTAACTTTTACAGTTTCCATTTTAAATTCTGGATGAACATCTCACTCATACTTAACTGTAAAAGTTGATTTACCGGATTTATAACGTAACAAATATCTGCCTGAGGGGTAGGCAACCTTAATAGTACTTTGAAGAGACATGAATTCTCTATTGAATATCGGAATAATATATTGGATGTTCCATTTGAAAATAAAAGATTAACTTGCTTTTAAATGAGACCAAGGTTCAATATTAATTGAGTATATCCTTGTATAACTTTTTGGGCCAAGTTTTAATTTTATTTAAAGAACAATGGTTATTTTAACTACATATTAGGCTATACCAAGTAAATTCAGTGATAGCTTTTATTGAAGTTTAAAATGTATTCTTCATTTTTATAAAATGTTGAATATGTCAGAAACCTTAAAATTTAGTCATAAGCTTTTCTTAAGGCTGCCCTTCCCTAGACAAACTATAACACCTGCGGGGAATCCGAAGAGACGAGGTAGCTTTTAAACTAACAGAAGGCGGTGCATTGACTACTTGCACTTACGAATCTCTCGATAAATCCAAGGTCAACGGCGCCCAAAATCCCAACGATGGACCATATTTTATGAAAAAATTATTTTGCTGGTAGATATTATTCAATATGTGTTAAAATTACAAAGTCAATACAAAATATGAAAAAATTAACAATTATTAGTGCATAGGAAATGGTTTATACAGGGTGTTATAATATTAACCCACATAAAAAATCATATTTTCGCAGACTCAGGTCAAAGTCACACCTTAACTAGTTTCCAAAAAATGTATGAGCCTAGAAGCATCATAATATGTAAAAAATTTTGTTATACAGGTTGTCTCAAAAGTCAAAAGTAATTAACTTTTTTATAAAACTAGTTTTTTCTTAAAAATCGATTTTTAAGTCTTTTGAGACAATTGCATAAAAATATGATAGGAGCTCTACCTTAAACTATTATTTTGAAAATGCAATATTTTATCAACTTACTTTGTAACTTATTGAAAAATATATATTTTTTATTTATTTATTAATATCTCTGAAACTATCCAAATATATTTACATCTTATCTAGGATTATGTAAAGTGATCAGAAAGGAAGCCAAAAATGCAACAATATACAGAGTTACAGTGAGTGAGTATACACTCACACTTTCTTGAGCCACCCTATAGAATTTAAAATATTTTCCTGAAATACATCCTCGTACATACTTTAAGTTTGCAAACTTAAAAAAGTTTTTTATTCTAGAAGCTACAGATGCCTGACGCACTATTGCCGGACTGTGCATCCAACAAAACTATGCTCTATCATACAGGGTGGCAGTTTGGGGCAGATTTATTTTGCTCGACATAAAAGAATAAGGACTACCTAAGCGAATGACATGTATAAAAAATACGATATTTCTACATTTTTTTTAAATCGTTCATAAATTTTAAAGGTTTTTTTTTGAAAAATATATTTTAACAAAAATGACCCTAATACAAATATGGGAAAATATTATTAAAATGTGAAAGAGCAGAAAAACAGTAAAAACTTACCCCTATCATCTACATTCATCATAAAAAAAATATTTGTAAAATATACGTTTTAAAAAAAAATACAAAATTGAGACACTTCTGCTGCGATATAATAGCATTTTATTAGTTACGACAATTCCATTATTCATTTGCTTTTGTTTTGGGATGCTCCAAAGCCTACTTGTTGTAAATTGATAACAAGATTTATGAAATATTAATATCTTTTTTTTGGGGATAATCAATGTTTTTAGTGACCCTGGCTCTCTGTTGTTTCCTGTGTGGACACCCTTGGGTATTAAACACGAAATGATTTTCAAAGATGAAGTTTTTTGGAAAAAAACTAAAAAACAGCTTACGGAATTCTACATAAAATGTCTTTTGACCGAATTGGTGGATCCTAGAAAATCTAGAAATATGCCTATTTGAAATATCTCTGTTAAAAGTTAAGTAGTCCATCGTAATCGTCCATTTTTTAAACAATATTATTATCTAATATAATCAATGTTTATATGCATTATTATTGCCTATATGTATGTCCATTGACTTCGTATATGTAGTACATACCTTTTTAGTAAAGATATCATCTTAGTACATCTCAGTGTTTTTTATTTTATTTTGGTGTGTTTTTTTTTCAACGAATTATTTTTTGTTTGTAGAGTACTACTATTATGGCACTTTAACTATCACCAGTATAATACATAGTAATATAATTTTTATCACTTTTAACAATATTAATTTTTTAAACAATTTAAAAATAATAGAGTAAAAAAGTAAGAATAGGTAGTAACAATTATTATATCATGTAATCTCTGTATCATGTATCATGTACTATTTCTTTATTTAATGCGATATAACGATTTTACTCTAATTTTTGCTTATTGAAGTCGCGCCGCCGCGCCCTGGCACCGCGCCGGTTCATGTTACTGTGGACTTCCATTACTTCACAGTGGTCAAACCATCTTATTAATTATTTATTGTTTTATGTTTTGTTACATTGCATCATGATTAATGACCGTACACACACAATAGATGAAACGCAAATTTTGTTTGCCGTGGGATTTGATTACAAAATAAAAATTTTAAATTATTGTGTAAGAAACAAGCGTTATAAAATAATTTATCCAAATAATTCGAATACGTACCTGGTTTCCTTTGCCCGCCTTCAACAGCGTCAGCAACAAAATTCATGTGAGGGCGCCACATTACGAGCAACAAAAATGATCAAAATTGGGTTTGCAGAGGGTCGGGCGTCACAAAATTGCGACCATGTTTTTTAATATTTTGAAATAATTTTTATTTCACTTTATTAAGGAAGCTTCCGGACATGCTTGTAATTAGTTTTAAAATCGATTTGAATACATTTAATGCTAAAAAAAATACTTATAAAATCATCTTTTTTTAGGGCGTTTTAGGGGTAAATTTGAAACAGTTTGAGTTGAGTTTGGGGAAGGAAATATAATTATAAGCACGTCTTAAGATGTATACAAACAAATAATGATTCGTGAAGAAAGGTCACATGGTTTTTGCAGCATTTTATGACAGCCAAACCCTTACAAATGCTAGGCTAGCGCCAGTGGGAAGGAGAGCCTTTAAAACTCACCTTTATTTTTCTTTCTAGTATCTGAAAAGCAATTAATACATAGGGTGTTTTATTACAAAAAACACAACTTTGATGTGTACTTTTTTGGAGACATCCTGTAGTTTAAACGTAAAGTAAATTAACACATAATATGCTGACAAAATTTCATTTCACTGTCATTCTCCTTAGAAACTCCGCGTCGTCTATACGATTCGTTTTCTTTGAATAAAAGTAAAATTTGTGTAAATAATAAATTAATATTGACCTTTCTTTCAGATCCTCCTCAAGTTGTTCTCCATTTAGGCAGTACCCTCAATCCTGGTGATATTAAAGAAGGCGATGACGTATATTTCGAATGTAACATCAAGGCCAATCCCAAACAATACAAGATTACATGGTACCACGATGTAAGTATCTAATTTTTATTCTTTTAGATTAAATCGTTTTGTAATACAACATGTTAATATTTGATCTGACTTGGAGTTTTTCAGTTATCTTTCTGGATAGCTTCCACGTCTTGCTGCCATTATTATTAGTGATGTGCCGGTATTTTAATAATGCCATTCTAGAACGATATATTTTCTCTGTGTGTCAACGTCTCCGATGTTATTTTCTGTAAATATTAAATACTGTATAACATAGACTTGTTTGAAAGAAAGAACATGGTTTGTTCGCGCTGTATAATGTTTCAGATTCGGATCTGCTTATAAGATTTTACTAGATCTCTTTTTTTTTGCTTGGGATCATCATCATCATCATCATCATCATCATCATCACGCAGCCTTCTTTCACGTCCATAGTTGAACATAGGCCTCCTCTAAACGTCTCTAGTTCTCGCGGTTTTTAGCTGTTGCAATCCAGTTAGTTGTTATTCGTTTCAGGTCGTCGGTCCATCGGGTGGGAGGTCTGCCTTGGCTACGCTTGGGATCAATCGTTTCAAAAAAAATAATATGCGCCACTGACTTTTTTTCACTTTTTCCGGTTTGCAAAATTGTGTAGACCATTCAATGCCGATTAAAAGTTGTCTCTTGATATTTCGGTCTCCTTGATAAGATAAAATAAATTTTATTAATTTACATTAATCCAAGTCTAACAGCAACCTTTAAATAATTCGAGGGGGAAATCACTGGGGTATTGTATGTACAAACGCAAGAAATTGCAGGGGAATTTTAAAGTATTTCGGGAAATATCGTGGGATTTCAAGGGTATTGCGTCATATTTAACAAAATTCCTTTACAATTTTGACAATTTGGCAAACGCATATTAAGCGAAAAGCCAAATGCAGTGTAGGTGATCGTGTCATTCGATTTTTTTTTAATGTTATTAACTGACCAAAGTATTAAATAAGTACAAAGTGATTCATCTTAAAAAAAATATGAAGAAAAGTTCCTATAAACATGGATGTGGAAATGCATAGTTTCAAAAAGAGGATGTTAAAACTTTTAAAAAATAGGCCTTTGGTCTATTTTCAATATCATTTTTTTTAATTTGATGTACTCATATTTGATGTAGAACATCAGTGTTATAAATTTTAATAAAATTTAATAATAAATTAGATTAAACAATGAATTTATTAATATTCCTTTTATTTTAATTCTATTAATTGTGATTAATAATAATTGTGATTAATAATTATAAAATATTTTATTATTAATTGTGATAATTAATAATAAAATAGCGTTCATGTCATCAAGAAGATCGAAATCGACAAAATATCAGGATACAACTTTTAATCGGCATTAAACGGCCTACACAATTTTGCTAACAAAAGAAAAGAAAGTCAATGGCGGACATGTTTTTTTTAGAAAAAAATTCTAGTGATAACCCATACGCACGTGGTGAATATGTGAAACACTTTTTTAGCATTCAAACATGTTGCACTTACAGTAACTTTTACCCTCAAAATTTCATTCGAATCGCTAAAAGCATTTGGAAGAAAATTACAATAAATCGAAAAAAAAATAAGACGTCAACACCCTGTAGCTTCGAAACGAAGCAGAATAGGACCTATGATGATATGAAAAATAAATCTTATTTTTACATGAGGAATTTCCCCATGTGAGATAGCACAAGTTTTTTGAAACACTCTGCAAAAAATCTTTATTCTTGTATAAAACTCTAAAAAATCTCCATGCTTCAATAATTCGATGCACTAAATTTTACTGTCCAATTGAGATCGTCGACAGACCACTGTCCGGTGCGAGACGGCCAAAGGAAGCCATCCAGGAGAGTCTATCGGTAACGGAGTACGTTTCCCTAATGGGGTCCGGGACGAGGGCTCCCGAGGGTGTCGTTCGGTCATTTCCGGATCCGGTCGTCCCGAGACGCTGCCCGATTTAGATAAGAGATCTGAGTTATGACGCGCACTAGAAACTCTTGATCGCGATCGTTGTTCGATTCGAATCGGGAGGAGGATTTGTTATGGTTGAGAATGTTTGTACGAATTTGTATGAGGCTGCGACATACGATAAAATAAATACCGTATGACCATAAAGAACGACATAAGAGGGCTGGGGAATGGAAATTGATGGAAATTTGAATAATGGCAATTTTACATATATGTAAATGATTTTAAAAAATTCAAAATAATTTATGAGCGTTATGTCGTCTCCAAAATCAGTTATTATTATTATTAAACATAGTTGTGTCTGCGGCAACATTCTGATAGGTACCCTGTTCTCCTATTCATAAAAATACGTAAAAATAGATTTTGATTAAAAATACAATGAGCGTAATAATCTTGCAGTCGGATCCTGTACTATAAGTGCTTTTGCCGTAAGTAGAGGTATTTATTTATAGTTTATATCAAATAAATTTTAGTCATGTGATTAAGCTTGGCCGGTACAGTTTTTTTTTAATCCATATATGTATTTTAGGAAACAAAAATAAATTAATTATGATTATATAAACAGTTATTATTTATATCAACAAAACTTACCTTCTTAACAGCACTAAAAGGACATAAGGATCCATTACTACCGCTTTTTCATTCAAAATATTCTAATAAAGTTGCGATGAATTTTTTTGATGGGTATTCAAAAAGTAGTACACTTCGCACTAAAAAAGGTTCTAAAATGAACAATATGCGACTGCAAGGTGTGCTATTACACATTTTAAGCTTAAAGTCAAACACAACACTACTTATTTAAACCAAAAACACGTAATACAAAAGTAAAAGTGTCAAAACGAATGACAATGTCAGGAAATAAATAAATAAATGTGGCAACTTGACATTTTTACAGCAGAGCTACCACCTAAATCCCCAGCGCGAAATTTAAATTCCAGTTAGTCAGTCTGGCGCCGAATATGCGCAATATAATAAATATATAATAAATAAATATCAAATATATTTATTTAACACTCTGTTTATATAAAGATCTTGAATCAACGCCAATAAGATCATGAAATCTTGGAAACAGAATTATATTAGGCATATTATAAAATCATAATATAAATAAACAAACGGTTCAACAACAAATCATGATTCGGATCAATGTATAAGTTTAGCTTATCCTTTAACGTGCGTCTTCAGACAGGAATGCATTTAGCTGCCGACATCTTGACAATTACCTCGACAAGCGTCTAGCCGCTACCGGTAACTGACTAGCCCTAAATTCCGATCACAGCTGATCAATACAGCAGCTGAAAAACAGAGAAGTAATTAACTTTTAGACATTTAAAGCTAATCAAATTCGTATTGTAATTTAAAAAACAATGTGTGTACTATGTGCTCATCATTTGAAGTGAAACTTCTACTAACAGCTATTAAATTGAAGAAAAAATTTTGAACCTAACCAACGATTCGTATATATAGTAGTTTACAGTATTTTTTTATTTTTGTTAAATTATGCGAATATTCCTCGTTGATTAGAGAGATTATTAGAGTTACTAACTCTAATAATCTCTATCTAATAATCTCTCTATTTCTAAGCCGGCAACTGAGCTAGATGCTTTACCTAGACCGTTATTCAGAAGTTACAAACCTATCGATGAAAATATGCATGAAAATTTACTTCCTAGCACACAACTAGAGGATGTTAGTACGCAGATACAGTTTTAAGTTTATAATAGTAGTTATCTTAGCCGCGTATGGCACAGATTGTTACCCAGTGCGAGATAAATTGTTTTAGAAAGGGGTAGATCTACCTCGAATGGGGTAGCTGTGGCAACACTGCCATTACTACTTTTCCTGATGCTAGCTTGTGTGTCACGGCCTTAAATCTTTACTCCCAACGCGCATTAAGAAGTTTCACTTCAAAAAATAATCACGAACAAATGATTGAAACCAAAACAATCAAAACCATCTTGTCGAGGCAGTTGCCAAACTTAAAGGGTATATCATAATTATATAAAATGCAAATGTCAGCAGCCAAGTGCAGTCCTATCCGGAGATACATCGTCGTCAATATCACAAAGTGGCGTAACTCATTGTTTGATATTTCTCGGGAGAGCGGTTTAAGGCTTCCTACTACTTTTGTCCCAATACCAACCAAAATATATTGCAGTCACTGTATTTCTTTAACAAAAAATGAACAATTTCGTTAACAAAAAAGAAACACAGTAGCTTCAATATATTTTGGTTAGTATTGAAACAAAAGTCGTAAAAAACCGCTCTCCTGAAAAATATCAAAAAATTAGTTACGCCACTTTGCGATATTGACAACGGACATATGTATCTTTCGTCTATGGATGTCGACATAGGATAAAAATGTAAACATTTTCCTTGTAGTTATATCAATGATATTAAAAATAATCTCGAAAAAATACAGCGATTTTTTGATTCCGTTAAAAAATAACACACCTTATAACAAGGTTTGGCTATCGTATGTGCTTGTCCAGGCGGTCGGCCGCTTTTTCACGGCCCGAGGCCTTTCTCCGTTGTCCTTTTATTTGGCCAATCGGTTTCGGATTAAACGCAGATCCGATACAACGAACGGACCAATCGGACTCGTTATAGACCGTTAGACCGTAAAGGTTTCACAGAATTTACCTTTGAGAGGAAACACAGGGACAAAATTGCTTTGGCCGTCGTTTCCGTTGCCGATGCGGCAGCGTGCGGAAAGATAAATTAGAGAAGTCGGTTTTACAGCCAGATACTACATACACATACACCGGAAGGTATATATAGGACGTTGTTAGATTTATTACGAAGCTGGCGTTGTCGTAGTTATTGCTTTTATGAAACGAAACGTTTATGTGGAGAGGAATATGGTATCATAATATTGTGTGTTATGGTACACGTTTTCTTAATAATTCTTAGTCGATTACAATTATATTATCTTTGTGAGAACCTTGGACTATAATTATGTTTTTGAATAAAAAACATAAACTTTTACAAATTATTATTTTGACAACCTTAACGCTTGTCTAGTATATTGCCACTTGATCATATAGTGTCCCAATATCC